ATTTGTAGTAAAAAAGTAAAGCTGTGTAATTATCCAGATGAAAATGAGTGACTTTTATTAAAAAAGACATATTCATTGTAGGTTTGTTTTTATGTTTTGCTTATGATCTCCCTTAAAATTCCGGTCCTAATTAATATTCATGATTAAATGAATAAATTAGGCCATCTCCATATAAAGACCACCTGTCTATAAAGGACAGTTTGGCTCAGTCCACTGACTGTCCTTTATAGACAGGTTTGACTGTATTATATAACAAAGGGCAAGGTCACCAGAGTTCAACTATGTTTAATTTTTACAGGAAATCTTGGAAATAAAGGTGAAAGTGGTGATCCTGGCTTACCAGGCATTCCTGGTCTAGATGGATCTTCTGGGTTGCCAGGATATCGTGGTGAAACTGGTGATCCTGGTTTTGCAGGTGACCAAATTCTTATGCTTTCAACTTGCTACCTGTCTTTCTGCTAGTTTCATTGGAAGTCTTGTAAATATTTTGTGAAAATGTATTGCAGCATGATTTACTCCAAAATACTTCAAATCTTTCACTGTGGGAAGAATGTTGGTATGTGATATCTGATTTCCATCAAAACATTACAATCTTACATCTGTCAGACATAAACTGACTCTTATTTTTTTTTGCTCACTAGGTCCAAGAGGTCAAGATGGTCAACCTGGTCAGCCAGGTTTATCACAGAGTACTGCATTGAAGAGTTTCTTATTAACAAAGCATAGTCAGTCAGCCCAGGTTCCAACGTGTTCTCAGGGACATCGAGAACTATGGACTGGATACAGTTTACTTTATACAGAAGGAAATGACAAAGCACATCACCAAGATTTAGGTAACTTATAGTGGTGTTTATGGTGCATCTGGCCATCTGCAACTGTATCTGGAACATGACAGGATAGATCATGTTCAAACTTCACACATACATACTGTATTTATCCGGGTATAAGCCCAGGGTCTTGAACATGGAAAATTGCCAAAAAGAAGGGGTGGGCGTTTGGCAGGAGATCCCCGGCAAAAAAAACGAAAATTCGCGAAAATCAGCAACACGCAGTTCGATCGAACTGCGGCAGGGAAAAGAACGGCAAATGAAAACATGCAACGGAAATAAATGAACAATATGCAACACTAGAAGTAGAACAAAAATAATGTATTGCTTATAATGTGACAAAAAAACAGAAATAATAAAAATCGACAGTGAGGAATCATTTGAACACAGTCCCTCTATCACAGAGGGACTGTGATTTGAATTAGGATTTTCCCGCCGACAAACACGCCTGAACTCAAAATTAATTAAAATGTCAGGGGTTAAACTGCGTAAAATGATTTCCGGTCTCGACAAATTACGCATCAACCGTCATACAAGATCAATAATAATTTACAAATTTACACAGTAAAAATTATAAAAATTCATAGCTGTTTGAAAAAAAACTTCTCAGATCTTTGTTTGTACGTTCATTGCCATCTTCATCAAACTCAAAACCCTCGAAGTCCAAGTCGGCGTCACTGTAGCCGTCGAACAAAATCCCTACAACTTATTCCTGAAGTTGG